ACTTCATGACTTATGCTCATAGGCCCCAAAATTTAACCAGAATTATTTGACATTCTCGTCTGATTTAGAACATATATTGTTGCTACCTGCGCAAATACAGGAAAAATGTATGGACAAATTCAAGATATGAATTTCCAGTGCATTCTTTTGGAGAAATCATGTGAATGAACAAACTCTAGAATATCGACTCTTAATGGTGACATATGGAACTTCCCCTGCACCTTCTTATCAACTTGCTCTCTTCTCCAATTAATTTTAGATGAACAAAAGGATTTTTCAAGTGTTCGGAAGTTGTCAAATCTAATCTTCTACGTTGATGATCTTCTAACAGTGCTACATCAAAAACTACTGCCAAAAATTAGTACAGTCAAAAGTCGTTAATCCGGAATCGTCGGGACTTCGGCAATTCCGGATTATCGATTTTTCCGGATTATAGATCATCAGTTTAAATCTCATAAGATGGCATGCAGAAATTCTAAAATTAAAGATATGAAACCGTAATTTATGAAATAAAGAACAATTATGATCTAAAGGGTATCAAAATTTGCAAAAAGAAAAAGCTTAATATTTATTTGTTTACTTTATTAAACATTTCTTTCAATGTAAGTTGTTTAAGTTTTGCTTCGTTTCATGTGATAATTCTTTCTCTTTAATTCTATTAAACAGACATAATTTCTTGTTCAGTTACAAAGTTCCGCTGTTCAAGTCCTATAATTGCTATGTCGAGAACACCGACTAATTTGTCAATCGAAATTTTTTCGTTTTCAATAACCTCTGTCACTTTCTTCGCTATCGAAAGCAAATTATAATGAAGAGGAACTTGTTTTAAATCATATCAAAGACGGAGCATATCGAGATGAAATACTACATTTGGTAAGGAATTATAAGCCAAATAAAATAAAAACATCTGCGCTGAAGATAAGGATAGTGCTGACAGATCAACTTCCAATTCATTACGTGCCCGCCGCGGCGATCCCCCCCCCCGCCGAGCAGCGTGGAATTGATAAACAGATTTCGGATTTCAAAACATACTTTCGCTTTAGATCCTTTACATATTAACAAATATATATCGGAAATTCTATTTGATATAATCGAAAGTTTAAGCCTACTTTTATAAAATTGCTCTTAGAGTCTGCAAAAAATAATAAGCCGGATCCAATTCGAAAATTAAGGAACAACGCAATCATCAACATTAACTGAAATAGATAATTAGATAATTTTAGCTTATACGTCCATTATACATAAAACGCGCACGCGAAAACGTATTCTGCACTTGCGCACACTCATATGCGCAGTCGTAAAAGGTCTTACGCGCACGCGTAAACGCCTATGCGCATGTGTCAACGCGGTGCATGCGCAGAAAGTTTTTAGTTTTGAGGTACGGATTATAGATCATTCCGAATTAACGACTTTTGACTGTACATGGCATAGATAATCTTCTGTGTAGAGATGTTTTCAGACTGCAGAAATAGTTATCTAACATGTTTGACATATAATAATTGTCACAAGAACTCAGAGAAAATGCTCTTCAGTTGGTTACTTGCAAAGAACAACCAAGGAAGTGTTGGGAATAAACTGCCATCCCCATGGTGACACATTTGATTTTAGTACACTACCGATTGTCACTAAAGGGAATGTGCTGTCAGAAGTTGCGAGACTTTTTGATCCATTAGATTGGTTAGCCCCAACTGTTATTTCTGCAAAAATATTTCTTCAAGTCTTGTGGATTGACAAGTTAGATAGAGATGAATTTCTTACCCAACAACCATGGATAATTTGGATACACTTTCATGGAGATTTAAATTCGCTTAGTAAATTAAAAATTCCTAGAATGTTTTTAGCTGATAATTATCATAGAATAGTTACATGCTTTTTGTGATTCATCTGAGAAGGCATATTGGATGCTGAATCTTTTTCTGAAGAAGAAATTAAAGTGCCATTGATATGTGCGAAAACAAGAGTTGCACCACTTAAAGTGTAATCTTTGCCAAGAGTAGAATTATGCGTTGCATTATTGTTAGCAAATTTGCTCAAGGCAGTGATGAAATGTTTGCTAATAATTGTTCTTGCTAGTAATTGTTTTGCATGGGCAGATTCTACTATCACCTTATTTAGGATTGCCTCTAAATTTTAGCTTCAAAGATAGCTTCCTTTCATAGCCAATCAAGTGTAAAAAATTCAAACATCATTCCTGAGGTGGAATGGAATCACGTTCAAGAAAAAAAATAATCCTGCTGATAATGGTACAAGAGATTACGACCTAATGAATTATTTGGCTGTGATTAGTGGTTAATTAGACCTTCTTGGTTACACAATTATTATCAGGAATCTATATAAATGGACATTTAATTAATTGGACAGTCAAGAAGTATCCAAGGAAGAAGGAACAATTTCCAATTTCACTAAAACTAGCGATGAATTCTTTATTTTCAAATTTTCCTCTTAGCCAAAATTATGTCGGATTGTTGCTTATTGTTTAATATTTATCAACAACTTTTTGAAGTGCATTTCACGTGATTTCTTATTAGTCAAGAACTTAATAATGCGAGTTGTACGATAATAAGAACTTTACAATATTCTGAAATTTCTGATGAAATTTTAAGTAAACCATATATTTTCCACTCTTTAATGGCACCGAAACGTTAAACACCGAAAAGTCCATTCCTTGAAGAAAAAGGAGTTATTTGTGTTGGAGGACGATTAAGGAGTTCATTCATTCTAGAAAATCAAAGGCATACCACGTTATTCTTCAAAAATTCTACCTTTCTAAGTTTATCATTAAGCAAAATGATGAAATGTATCTGCATACAACCTCTTGCACTTCTACTTTCTATAATAAAACGTTTGGATTGTTTACTGGTAGATATGAAGCAAAAACTGAAAAACATTTTTGACTAGTGGAAGCTGAAACAAACTAGTTTTCCAAACTTTTTGCGAAAAATGGAACCAAGAATATCTCGGTTACAACAATGAAATAAGTGGAAGAAATCTCACAAAAATTTATTGGTAAATGGCTTAGTCCTGTAAGAGAAAGAAAACAAACCACCATTTCAGTAAAAATTGGGTAGAATTATTCATAATAACTGTTATGTAATGCCGTCAATAAACTTCGGAAGATATCCACAAGACAGTTTTATGAATAACTTTATTGAATGAACACGAGACTTTTAATGTATTAATGTTTTAATGACGCGAGTTTTATGTATCCTTTTTTTGTGGATGGCATCAGTTTTCAGCGTTGCCATGCACGTTCTAATCCGTGTTTGCTTAGTGATAGAAGTGTTCTATGAATTTAATGTTGATATGGATTAAATTGAATTCTTATATTGTATTTTGTGTTCTGTTTATTGAATGATATCCCTGCTTTACTGTGAAAATACTGATGTCAAGTGTTAACAAAGTTGTTTATTCGTCAAGAAACATGTGCAGAATTCAAGTAGATAAGATTTTTTTTTTTTTTTTTCTATAAATATTGAAATTGTAAACAGATATTCTAATAGTAGACTCACTGTGTCTAATTATTATTAAGGTTTATATACATATATTAAGAACCTGTGCAGAACAACCGTTGACGGGTAGTCTTGGCGTAGTTCTGATATTTTTTGATAATGTTTTCATTACAATAACAATGCTTGAGTTCTGAACATTCAAACTGCCAATAGAGAAATTCAAAGACTTATTTTCAAACTCTGCCTTTTGCCTGTCAAACACTGTGAATTTTAAAACTTTTAGAACATTAGCTTACTAGACTTTTCAGTTTTTTTATTTTGCATTTTTTTTATAATTTGTCACTAATATTTTTTATATATTTCAGGTCATCTTGTTTTTTCCTTTGAAACTCTTGGAGTGTTTCAAGGCACACTGTATGCTATTATTAAATTTAAGCTGATGCAGATGGCGCTGCTATTACGAGAACAGTTTACTTTTATGTTTTATTTTTTTTAAATTTATTTGATCATGACTGCTCATGCTTTGGCGCTGAGAGTATACGATTTGTTTTTTCGCTGTTACTCATACCATTTTTCCCCCCTTTGAGAACAAAAAAACGCAAATTCATACAGTCCATTACTTATCGTTATTTCACATCGCATCATCACAGATACTCCCACAAGTTATCTCATTAATGATCTCTCATGATAGCGAGTTGGTCAGATTGCCTTGTTAAAAGAGAATAATCACTTTTCATTCATCTGTGGATTTTCAATAGGTTAAAATAAATATTCCCATTGGCACGTGGATGCTTGCCACATAAACAGAGGTGTATACAATTAATTTTCGTAAAATATATTAAAAATATAATAAATTTACCTCTGTTGCAGTATAATGTAATTTTATATTGTTTGCACAGGCTTTTATTATAATTTTGTTCAGTATTTCACAGAATTAGTGACTATGGATTTTAACAGTCAAGTTTCAGCAATTTTCCCGATAACTTCATTGGGGGGAGGGACTTTAACAAAGAAATTACACTGTTAAAACTGCTGTTAAAGTCATAAAAATTCTTACATATAATAAAAAAGGAGAGTTATATAACATGCATCTTTAGATTTAAACATCATATAGCAAGAATTCAAACAATTACCTAAATCATAAGAATTGTATCAAGTTTTCACTCAGAAATATAAAAATTATTACACTTTTGAAAATTAATTTAACAAAATTTACATAGAACTTCATTAAACTAACTTTACTAATTGCATCAAATATAGATGTTAAATAACTCTTCTGATTTTTTATAGATGAATAGATGTTATGCCACAAAGCAAACTTTCCTTATACCAACGTTATTTTATAAATGGGTAAGAATGGGAAAACCAGCACCCATTACAGATAGATGTTAGGTAAATATCACATACATTTTTATTAAGATTTTATAATAAAAATAATAATAATAAAAAAAAAAGCAAAGTATGCTTTAAAGATATCACATTTTTTTTAAAAGATAAAAATATTAACAGAGATATAATAGTACAGAGATGCATTTTTTAGCAATTACTTACCAACTGGTCTTCTAAATGCAGACGATCAAAATCATATGTCAGACGAGTGTGACGTGGTGCAGAAGGACGCCTAGTATCTAACAGAAGAAATTTATTTGAGCATCAAAGTATCTTAACCAGTCAAAAAGTATAAAAAATTACAATAAAATGTAAATTATCACTGTACAAAAATATCAAAATTAAAATCGCAAAGATTTTCTTTTATTGATAATTTATTGTTGATAAAATAAGTACAATAAATATGAAAATACTCAAAAATCACAAGAAATAGTATTTCTATCTGAAGTTTTTTTAAATAATTAAAAGAAGCATATTTTATAGAATAAAATAATTTTAAATAGTATAATTATTTCAGCAAAAGTACCCTAAAAGAATGTAATAATAGTTACTTAGTATAATAATTAGTCATATGCAATTCAGTGAAAATATTTCTTTCCATTATACCTTCTAAGTGATTTATTGTCACAGATTTACCTGTTCAAACACAGGATCAAATTTTAGGAAAATACTTCATTGCAAACTATGCTCAACTATGCTTTATAAAAACAGTTTTAAAAATTTTCATTATTATGCTTAAAATGTACTTCTATTTCTTTAGAAGGACGTTGAAACACTTACTGTTTGACATTTGAATGTTTATTTTTATAGCATAGCTGTGTACAACATGCAGAAATTTCTTAAGATCTAGGTTCCCCCCCCCCCCCGTTTGGCAACTTTCATTCACAATCTGAATATTATAGAATATGATGAACATAAGCACTGTCAATTAGTTGTCCTGTAGACATTTAGAAAGGAAAAAATATAAGAGAAAGAGGAATAACCTTCTTCAGGTGTATCCACTAATGAAATATCCACTTCATCTAATAAACAGTTTGAGCTATTCAGTATATTATCAGATAGTTTTGAAATCCTACGTGAACGACGAGGTGTCACATGGGTTTTTTCTGAATACTCCACTCTGGAAGTTTTAGTAGTTGAGCTTTGTCCTTTCTGTACAGCACTCTCATTTTGCTCATTTATAGTTTCAAGGGATGACTTAACACTCTGCCTTGTCAAATATTTATTTGATTTTCGAGTATCTAAAATATAATACACCAAAAAACACTCACATAATATGATAACAAAGGCAAAGCAAATAATATGCAAAGAAAATCTGAGATTCATTAGAAATATTATAAAAAACAAGCTTAGTTACTCAAACTTGTATTTATTACTTATTTAAATTTCAATGTTATATTAAAACTTTAAATTAATTTTTTAATCTAAATATTATTTTAGATGGAAATATATATATATATATAAATATAAATATATATAATTAAGTCTAATGTTAAGTATAATTTTGAAAAATTAAGTTTAATACTAACTTTTAAATTTAAGCATTAAAATGTTGCTGCTCTCAAAATAATAATTATGTTTTGTTGAGTTGAAAGTTTAAAATTTCAAATGAGTGAAAAATAGGTTATAAATTTGCACACATATTATAGAGAAAGGTTTTAATAAAAAAATATAATTGAAGATAAAGAAATAATTTTGGCAATCTTTGAAAATTATAACAGTCAAAAGTCGTTAATCCGGACTCGTCGGGACTTCGGCGATTCCGGATTATAGATCATCAGTTTAAATCTCGTAAGATGGCATGCAGAAATTCTAAAATTAAAAATATGAAACTGTAATTTATGAAATAAAGAACAATTATGATCTAAAGGGTATCAAAATTTACAAAAAAAAAAAAAAAAAAAAAAAAAAAAGAGCTTATTATTTATTTGTTTACTTCATTGAACATTTCTTTCAATGTAAGTTGTTTAAGTTGCTTCGTTTTATGTGATAATACTTTCTCTTTAATTCTATAAACAGACATAATTTCTTGTTCAGTTACAAAGTTCCACTGTTCAAGTCCCGTTAATTGCTGTGCCGAGTATTACCGACTAACTTGTCAATCGAAATTTTTTCATTTTCACTAACCTCTCTGTCACATTCTTCATGTCTTTATCCATTTTTTGCAGCAATTCCACTTTTTGTTTGTTGGACATCGAAACATATTTTCGTTTTGTAGATCCTTTGGAAGTTCCAGCATCGGAAATTCTATTTGACATAATCAAAAGTTCAAGTTTACTTTTATAAAATTGCTCTTACAGTCTGCAAAAAATAATAAGCGGGATCCAATTCGAAGATTAAGGAACAACGCAATCATTAACATTAACTGAAATAGATAATTTTAGCTTACATTTTCCGTTATACATTAAACGCGCAGGCGAAAACGTATTCTGCACTTGCGCAGTAGTCAAGGTCTTACACGCACGCGTAAAACGCCTGTGCGCATGTGCCAACGTGGCGCATGCGCAGAAAGCTTTTAGCTTTGAGGTTCGGATTATAGATCATTCTGGATTATGGGTGTCCGAATTAACGACTTTTGACTGTATTACTTTTAAAATAATTTACATTTACTGTTATGATTTATGACAAATATTTAAATATGCAAAGTATACAATGTTTTTCTGCATTAGAAAATTTGTGTATATAAAGGAATATTCCTCATATTTACATTCTCCACCTTAACATATGAATTTAACCTTCTTAAAGGTACTTCCGATTCTCACTATAATTTGCAATGTGTCAAAGAAATACTCCAGACCTTCATTTCCATCCCTGTCATGAAATCATTAAGTCAATATGGTAAGGACACATCAGTTCCTGTAGCTCGTTTGACCTTTCATACATCATTCCTTTTGTAAATGTTTCAAATAGTATATTTTTCATATATCTCTAAAACAAGACAATTAACTGAAATTCTCTTACCTAAAAGACATAAAAATCTGACCTTTAGTTATAGGGATTTATAAAATTCCTTCTGAATGCAGTTTTGCGGGCATTGCTCAGCTTTATAAACATTATGCATATGAGGGCTATCTGCTTAAAGAAAGAAATGCCTTTGAAGTGATCAACATGGTGCAAGAGACCTCATTGGCTTCGAGTGAGTAGCTGCTTGCTCGTGTCACCATCTATTAGCACCGGTGAGAAGTACCGCAGCAAATGAGTTTTGCATGCACGTGAAGATGGTAATGACCTTGGGATTCGATCCTGGGCCTGTTTAATGTGAGTGAATTCTCTACCACTAGCGCAAAAGAGCTCCCATGCATTAGGTTCGTGAATTCTAACTCTTTCAAATTTGCGAGCATCGCTACATCTTCAATGATGATTTTCTAGTGGAAACTAGCTTGTAGTCTCATTACATGCCAACCCATCTGCCTGTATTTGAACCCAGAATGAAACATCACTATTCAATAGTAGTTAACTACTTGGGTATTGATGGGGCATTTGCAGGTACTGAAATTTACAAATCATTAATAATTAGTGTAGGAGATTCACAGGTAATTAATAGTTAATGTCAGATGGGGGAATACTACTCTGCTATTGTGACAAAATGGGCAGTTTTCAATATCCATCAGTTAATCAGTATTATTACCTACACCAATTTGTCCATTAACTTGAATTTCATAAAAACTTGCAAAGTTTTCTCCACAGTAATATCATGAAATATAACTTTTACTCCAGTCTTATTAGAAGAGGGGGGGGATATGTTCCTTTACTCTACCATTTAAACATTCCAACAAATAACCCCTGCTTGATATGGGTGTGCAGCTAACAAGAAACAAGCTAAAATAAGTTGCTATAAAACTCAGACAGTTATATTTATTTGTGCTAATTTCATATTAAATTTTTCAATTTTTTTACTGCTCATATCATACAAAATCAATATTTTTATAAGTGTCATTGTCTAGATCCATGAATTATTCAAAATAAATAGTAGGGAAAAAATTAAGAAAACAAAACATACATGATTTCAGTATAAAAACTGTAAATTTGTCAGCAGTAATTAAGCAGAACACAATACTGAATAAACTATTTTTTTTTTCAACAATAAAAATAAACAAAAGCACATACTTTGAAAGCAAGCCTTCATTTCTGGTTGAGGTAAACAGTGTGGAGATGAATCTAAGGGATCTCTCTTCTTAGCAGTTAAGTCAGTCACATTTTCATTCAAAACAGGACTTTTATTTCGATGACCATTCTTGGCAGAAATACTAGAACTGCTATCTTTATTATCTTCAAGAGATTCTTTGTTTCCATTTACTATTTCGACATCATTAACTGGACTACCTCTGTAAAAGATATTTATTTGTCAGACAAACCAAATCAAAAAGCATAAAAATCATATCATCTAAATATTACTCTGATCTTTCCAGCAACTGCAAAACAGTGTATTAAAATCAGATGCAAATTCAAGGAATTTCTTAAAACCATAACCAAAGTTTTCAGATAGATATTCGAAATATATATTATTTGTACACATATAAGAATATATCTAGCTCCACTTTCCCATAAAACATTCAGAGATTTCCTTTATTAGATTACCTGTAAGTTACAGAGTGCATATGAGATGATTCCCTGAAGCAGTATGCAAACATTTACGACTTAGTTTCAGAATCACATAATATCACAACATAAAAATATTCAGAATTAGGCATTAACTAAACAAAAGCTAAATAAGTTTGACAAATTTCAGGTGGTAGTTAAGTCCTCCTTTTTTTTAACAGCAACATTGAATATTCCCTTTACCTGAAGCATGACATGCTTTACGCAGCAAATGCTTCACATAGAGGATTCTTAAAGATTTACAGAGTAAATTTATGAATGTCTGCAAGAGCCCTGTATAACACAACAGTTAGTTAAGCTATTAAAAAATGCCATATTATGAGAATTTGGGCTTTAGGAATGAAACAGCTAGAACCAGTAATAATAATATACACTCGTCAAAAGTGAAATTGCAATGCCAAAGAAGGAATACGCATAGTGATGTGAAAATAACAGGATAGGTAAAGATAAGACACATACGCAGAAGATAAAAAAAAAAAAAAAAGAGGCTGCTCAGAGTATGATGTGAGACATGAGACTGAGCATTGTCCTGCTGGAATAATGTGGTGAGGGCAGCCTGCACAAGTGGCCGAACCACAGGCATGCATAACAACTTGTGTTACGTACCTGCTGGATGTTAAACTGCCAGTAATGAGCACAAGGATTGTCCACTGTCTGACCATGATAAAATTCCAAACCATGAAGCTCGGTTTAGGGCCGATGAGATAATTGACGAGGTGGGCTGGCCAGGTAATGTGCTCTGAGAATTCACCACACATGTCCATGACTGTCATTCTTCCATAAGTAAAATCAGGATTCGTCTGAAAACAATACCCAATGCCATTTGTTCCTCCATTGAAGATAACGTTGATACCAAGGTAGATGGGCAGCCCTAAGTCGAATGGTTAAAAGAACCTCAGATTCTGGCCACTGTGTGTGCATCCCTGCCTCATGCAACCTGTTACAGATGGTTTTGCAGGAGACAGATGCCTCTTCTGATAATGGTGGGTAAGCTTGAATATGACTAACCGCAGCAAATGGGTCCCCACGAAACTGTCGACGAATTGGCCTATTAGTGCAATCTGACATGCACCTGGATGATCCACTGCCTCTTTGCTGTGTCCTCAGATGGTCCTGCGTTCATCATGCCCCACATCGCTGAATCGTACTTCCGTCCCGCTCAACATTTGCATGCATCGACAAATTGTACATCGAGTTCATGCAGTTCTAGGATGTATTCTCGTTCTTCTGACGATAATTGCTGGTATTCAGCTTGCTATTATCTCCAAGGTATTTTCTAAACTTCTTCAATAATTCCCTTACAACAATCTGTCATTGATAGCATATACAGAGCGAGCCAGCTACTGGCTTTCATAGCAAGAAACTGGGTATTATGTGACCATACGCCAACACAAATTTAATCATTTGCTATGTACCCGATCCTGTTATTTTCATATCATTCCTTGCATGCCTTCATGGTGCTGCAAATTCACTTTTGATAAGTGTATAAGTACCGCATATTCTAGCACTTTTAATACAAAATACAAGATTGAAATTTATGGGTGTTTGAAAATTGTCCATTAATGAAGATTTAACTGTATTTGCAAATTATTTATACTTTCTCATATATGAGAGATACTCATACATAGGGGAAGGGAAAAGGAAAAAAAAAGAAAGAAAGAAATCCATTACATAGGCTTATTGTTGAGCCTTTTCAAAATTTCTGTAGGGCATTCAGATAAGCGAAACGAATTCAGACCCCACAGTGGTTGAAATACAAAATCCTCAGGTGCAAATGAGGTCCTTCCTACAGCCTTTTCAGATTTGGAACTCTCAGCTTTAGTTTTAAAATTTTCTGTAGCAGCATTTACAACTTCTTTCTCCACATCATTTTCTTTCACAGTCTTCCTCTTTGGCGTTTTCAGATTTTGTTTTTGTGTCAGACCTAAAATAAAAAAATATGTTATTAAAATAATTAGGAGGACAGATATTTCTTGAGTACATTTTACAATACAGCAGGATTTCAAATAAATGTATTTTTTCTTATAAATATAAAACAGATTAAAAATCACCCCAACACGAATATTACCATTTATCTTATTAATATGTATACCAACATGTATTTGATTTTTTATTCATAAGATTTATACAAATTCTAGTAATTTGGAATTATTAAAAACAGACATAAATTTTCTTCTATGAACTTAAAACCAATAAAACATTGCATGAATTGTAGTTTAAAGAATCTCAAATGAAACAAAATTCCTCATTATTCATATTTATGCATTTAAGTGAAAAGGATAAAAGAATGCTTGATAATTTTTTAAAAAGCTATATTACTAAAAATTTATTCGAAATAATGGTCTTAAATGGACATGATGAGATCAATAATAGGCCCTTGCTTTAAAGATGGTATTATGGATGTTAATAGAAAATTTTTAATCACACAAAAGTACATTCACATTATAATACGAGATACTAAGAAGGAAATAAAATATTCTAAATTCACATGGCTAAAATTACATTTAAACATTAAGTAGGAGCTTTTGCAGATAACCCAATTCCAGCTCAGCTGATAAAGTAGCCATCTACAAAAATTCCTACTTTTGCTTATATTTAAATATGATTTTAACATGTCAACTTAGAATTAACTTAGAATATTAGAATTTTACTTTGTTTTTAACTTTATTCTATATGTCTTTTAAAAATATTAACACGTCTTAATTTTTCAGTATGATATGCATTAGCTGAACATTTGTTTGCATGCAACAATGGTAGCAATACCACAAATGATATAAACAGAATTTTATTGATAAGGAATGGGACATCATTATGCAACACACTGCTTTATGCAGCATTTTGTAAACTGTAGTCCACGGATCACATGTGATCTGCCTAGCCTTCTTTTATAGTATTCCTAGATTTCCCGAAAGACAAAAAATTAAATTTAAATTAACTGTACATAGCATATTATAGCTGAAAATCTGAGTTTGGAAATTAGTACAATTGTCTATCACTTTTTCTCCCAAGAATGACACTTCACCAGTTACTTCATTAATATGTATACCAACACTAACAAAAAAGAGGGATTTAGAGCACTATTAGTATGGGTTCTTATCTGCATACATATAAATATAGAATAGCTATGCAGGAATTGGCAAGCTCATTTACTTCATTAATATGCATACCAACATTTATTTGATTTTTTCTTAATAAGATTTCAAAATTCAAATAACCTGGAATTATTAAAAACTGATGTAAATTTTCTTCTGTTAACTTAAAACTAATAAAAAATTACATGAATTTTAATTAATTGTATCTAAAAAATTAAAGTGTACAGGTAGTTAACATATGCTAAAAAATGCTTTTAGAAGGGGACAAAAGTAAGGTGCTTCACAGAACTTCTAATTTATAAAAGTGGTCTTCACTTGAAAAAGTTTGTGAAACACTGGTTTAATGCAATCATGCTTGTCCACAGCTATTTTGATGATACATAATCGTGAGAAAAATATTATTAAAAATGTCAGTGCAGTTTTACTTATTTAATGGAAATACACTACAAATATGTTAATGAATATATTAATGTGACTTTAACTAAAAGTAAATTAAAAATTTCTCAATCATGAGTTGCCCACAGTCGTTACTTAAAAGTTCATTCATAAACCAATTATTTACATAGCATTTCTAGAAATTTTCTTCCTAGCTATCTTAAATTAAATCATTAAAAGGGTAAGTTTCTCTCACTTTGGCCCCCATAGTACTTTCTTGAAGTACTATGTGGTACTATGCTTCGTTGCATCAGGTTTAATTAATTATAATTATTGGTTATAATTTATTAAACTTGGTATAGTGGAAACTACTTTCTGTGCAAATGCGGCAAGAACTGGCAGAAACTTATCAGTGAAAACTTATTGCAGTACAGTAAGTAGTAGAAGAAAATGCATTTAAAAATTAAATAAGTTCAGCATAAGGTTTGCGGTATAAATCCACAGGTTACATAATAGCTTTCATCATTTCATAATTTTTATTCAGCCTAATTTTTTCCACAAAGTTGTTTACGGAGGTCACTCTGAAATTTTTTATATACGCACAGATGATACGCAGGAAAAAATTAATGGTTAGATTTGAAAATAAGAGCTACTTTAGCCTAGCAGCTGATTTTTTAATGGCCAGTTGCAAGTAGTTTAGCACAGAATAAATTTTAGGCAGAAGGTAAAATAGAGCTGGCACGAGAACATTATCACACTATGTTTTTAAAGTGGGATTAAATCAAGAATGCTTTCAATGTCTACAGTTAGCATTAGAAATAAAGGTCCATCTTGTGCTACTGTATTCAGATGGTGTACGGAATTTCACAGATGTAGCAACTCTCTTCAGGATAAATAATACAGAGGAAGGCCATTGTTAGCAACAATCCTGGATAATGTGCCTGCCGTAAGGAAAATATTAATCAATGACAATCATTGCATCTACCAAATGATAAAGAAGGAAATTAACATTGGATTTGCTGCCATACATAAAATTATTCATGAAGAATTGCATATCGAAAAACTAGTTTGCCGTTGGGTTTCACATAATTTAACTGAACACCAAAAAGAGATATCAGAAACAGTAAAGAAACCCTTAAATTACTTAAAGATAATGGCACCACATTATTTCTAAAATTGTAACTGGTGATGAAATTTACATACCATTTTTTGACATTTCAATATGTCAAGAAAGGCAAAGTATGGGTCTTTGAAGATGATCCCATGCCCACAATGGTAAAAAAACAACGTGCAATGAAAAAGTAATGTATGACATTTTCTTCAGAAGTACAAGACTGGTCACAGCCATCAAGCTGGAAGGACGGAAGACTGTCACAGCTGTCTTAAAGAAATTCTTCAAGAAGTGAATGTTAGATGATTCATGCTCCACCAAGACAATGCATATTCTCATTCAGCAAGATTAACATTTGAGTTTCTTGAATTAAAATACATCAAACAGATAGAACATCCACCCTATTCACCCGAACTACCTATGTGTGACTTTTGGCTATTTTTAAATCTAAAATAGGTGTCATTTTTTTTCCAAAAATGAGATTGATGAAATGCATTTTTTCATCGATTCCAAGAAATGAACAGCTTGAGGGATTTAATCATTGGAAAATTCAGCTATAGAAGTGCACTGATGTTGAAGGAGACTACTTTGAACACTCCTAAAATTTCATAACTTCAAAAGCCTATCTGAAAAATTTCAGACTGACCCTCGTATAAGATAAAATTAACTTCAGTGATGTTTTAAAACCCAGACAAGGTGGAGAATACTTTTTGATTCTCAACAGAACTTGCAAATAATGTCATCATGACCCAAACAGAAGTTACGAATGTTCATTTGCAGTTGTTTTTTTCAAATCAAACCACTAACTAGGAAATGAAACATTTTATAAAATGAGAGCTGCCTTGCAGATATGATAGAGAAGCTGTCTGCCATAGCCATGAGCTTGGGTCTGAATTTCAGAGAAGGCATGGATGTTTGTAACTATATAGTGTCTTTGCAGCAAGGGTCATATAAAAAATAATATTATTTGAGGGATTAGTGGTACATGAAGAGAAGTGGGATACCCTTGCACCTGTCCTGCAGAGTATTCGCCAAGAAAACTGAGATGGAATTTTATCTTTCTCAAGAGTGTAACTTAATAGCCTTTTCAAGTACAACTCAGGCAGCATTCTTGTGCTGCAATGGTTAAATGACTGATCAATTTTGGCCATTCCCGATGAAAGTATTAAGTTGGAGTTCATTTCGGTTAGAATGTACAGGTGCAAGGTTTTTCAAACTTTTTTTGCAACATGCTCTTTCATTATGAGGAATATCATGTCAATCCATATATATAGTCCCTGCTACTTATTAACCCCTTAACTGCCGCGGGCGTATATATACGCCTTGCTCAGGCGATGCTTTGCGCTGCTACACCTAAAATTATTCGCAAAGTTAACGCATCGGCTGCGCATCTGGGGCAGTTAACGCATCGGCTGAGCAAGGCGTACATATACGCCCGCGGCAGTTAAGGGGTTAAAATCACTTCCATTCAAATATACATAAATTTATCATTAGGCTGAGTTTAATAGATGGTGATTTCTGTATTGCAGATTGTGATATCAGCCATGAGCTTACCTAGTAAGATACTAACAGTTAATCTAATAATTAAAAATAAATATTTAAGGTATACTATTTTCATTATTTAATATGGTCTCTTTTTTCTCCCACATCATTTTTACTTTCTATATATGACAGTCAATTTTTTTTCACATCATCTCAGTATAATCATATACAGTAATTTTCCGTATTGATGCACGAAATGTTGGCTACAATTTGTAGTTTCCCTGAAGCTTCTAAATAAAAGCCTTGTTTTCAAAACAAATTTTTAACTGAGTTTTGAGAAACTGCCCACCCTGCAAATACTGAACAAATGTGCATATCCTCTAGCAAAGAAATTGACTAGTCATCTCTTTTAAAATGTTTTCATTTTTACATGATTCAGTTTTTTTCATCATTTTTTAAATGAGATCTTTTTTTTTGTAATGGCCTTTGAAAGCTTTCATAAAATCCTGGTTCAAAGGCTGAAGGAGGAAAATTGTATTTCTCAAAAATTTTGTTGCAGTGATAAATTGAGGGTAAATTCTTGACCTCTTTCGTGCACAGAGTTTTTCTGCTTTTGCCAGTAATCAATTCTGTCTTCTTAATTGTTGCAGCCACATGGCACGTAAATAACATAAAACCTAATTACCTCAATTTCTTGAAATCAGCTGCTGTTTAACTTTAAACATTAAAATGTGGTCTGGTAACGTTTTGCAAAACAAACCAGTTTTGTCTATATTATAAATTTTGAGTGGCCTGCATTCCTGACCAGGGAAAATATCTTTCATCCAGTTATCAGCCCACAATGATGATCTGACCTTTGCTTCCCACCATATAGCTTCTGACAAACAATGTTATTTCTCCCTTTCAATCTTGTGAATCATGAATTCCTTGACACAAACTTTTTTCCTACCATTTTAGTAAATTCTGAGGTTTCTGTGGTCAAAACAACTTTATAAATAAGGACATTTGTTAGCCTCAGAGCTTGAAACTATTTTAAAAGAACAATTTCAAAAATTCTTGATTTTATATCCCTTTACTGCTTGAAAATTTTGCATTTTTTATTAATTTTTCATCATAGTTGTTTTAAGGAAATTGTTTGGAAAATTCCAGTTTAAATGCAGTTATTCTTTGGCTACCCTTAACAAAATTTATATGTCATGGCATTTAAGTATAAGAATTTTACTCACATTAATTCATAAATTTTCAATGAAATTCATTGATTTATTTTCTTTATTTAAAAAGGAAATCAGATTTCTTAAGAAAAGATTACCTGACTGTGGTTTCCGCAACCCACGTGTAAGACCTGGCACAGGAACTTGAGAAACAACTTTCCCTTTAGGCTGAAACATATTACAAATAAATAAATAAATAAAAATTAATGCATAAAATTATATAATGAAACTAAAATTTCAAAACAAAACTTATTAAGAGCTAGAGTTATAAAATTAATATTCACTTGAAGATGACACATTAGGTTAAACTGAAGACGTAATAAATTTTTATATAAGTGTTTTGTTTAGCAAACAGCTAAGCTAATTTTTTTCAAATATATAATAGAAACAACCCCATGCAAAACATTACTGCATTATAATGGTGCTGAAATTTTAGTTCAAAGAGAAGATAATATGCATAGTAAATGTGTACTTCGATTTTATTTCTCTCAAATGATCCATGTCAGGAAATTGTGCCAAGAGTGCAATTTATAAAGAAATAATGCAATAAAATAATAATTCAGCTAACAATAACTGTGAGAATAATGCATTTACTTATGTATCTATTTTTATTAATTAATTAATTATTGAAAATTCAGAAGGAAGAAATGATGCAGCATATATCAGTTCTGCAGGTATAGATAAAAGAAGAACTTTGTGAATTAAAAAACAATAACAAAAATACAGATGTTGTATTAGAATTGTATTCTGCACTTCCAAGAAGACAAATCATTCAGTACTATTCTTTTATTTATACAATGTAAAATTGCTGTAGATCCATACCTTGCCTATAGAAAAAAAGTTTCTAAAAGATATACTGGAAAATTTACCGGAAGAAATATATGAGTGAATTCAATAAATACTATTACTATATAAAACTTCATTTAGAATCAAAAAAGGTAAACAATATATGCAATAAAACGATCATTAATGGAATAACAGAATGAGGTTTTATTGTATATACTACATAGTATTTTATATGGTTTGTTTTGGCCATATATGTAGTTCTGCGCATGAGATGAATTACAGCAACTACTCTGAACACTGAATGAGGAACTTATTTTTAAAAAAATGTCACTGAAACATCATGCTTCCATAATTGGGAAAATATGATTGTATTGCAGAAAGACAGTGCATATGCATATTTGTCAACTATCTCATAAGAACGTTTCTGACAGTGGTCCCTAATCTTTTTTAAATACATACATCCCCCTCTCCTTCTCAAAACTCTGAAAATACATATACATTTAATTAAATTAAGATTATTTTCAAATGTGCTTTATAAACTAAAGAAAATATATAGAACATGTTGCTAAATACCAAAATTATTACTTTTTATTCAAAGGTAGTTTTATATTCATAACCTAAAACTAAATATTTGTCTATGAGGTCATTTCATGCTACCAAGGTTTACGAGATTTTCGGATTTGTCAATAGTTGAAAACATTTGGGATAGATGGGATGGGATTTACAGGCTCGACCAGAATCTCTTTACAAGTCAGCATACTTCTTCAACATGTATGACGAGTAATACACAATGACACCAGATGATATTAGTATATTTTAGTATCACAATAAACAACAAAATACACTAAAAATGATGTCTTTAAAAAATATATATATATATATATTAATTATTCTTTTGCTTTGAAAATTTTATCATGTCTTACTTCTGATCTCAGCCCTCAAGTTTATAAATTTCATGAAACTTGCCCCACTCCTTCATTTTGTTGCACTTTACATTTTACTCTGCACTGCACATGCTTCATTAAATGAAAAAATCCATTGTGGACCCCACAACTTCCTTGTGTGGCCTATTAAATTATACACATTTTTTGCTGTACTTCATTTAAACTCACTTCTTCGAATTATTCTAACTTAATTAATCGACTGAAATTCTTATTTTTTCATAATGGGTATAAAACTTTCCCAGATTAAAGTATAAGAACTGGGAGATTGCATTAAAAGTTATATTTTGTTATTTGTTGAAAATTATTATTATTTTTTTTTTAAAATTTGATATTGCCAAAGCATGAATATGTCATTTAAAACACTTCTGTAACTGGAAGTCTATGACTACAACCAAGGATTGGAAAAATAAAAACCGGATAAGGGGAAGGTATGTGTGCGTGTGTATATTCATATTAATGACTAATATAAAATAATAAGCAATTTTATATATACACACACACATATATATTATGAATATATGTATATATAATAAAAAAAAGCTAATAATATTGATGGCATAGAATGTAGAACTGTTGTATTTGACAGATGCTAATTCATAATGAAGAGCAAGAATTTTGGACACTCATTATAACGAAAGCAAACTTAGATATAACAATGTTGTAGATATATTGATGGCATAGAATGTTGATCAGTAATGAAGAGCAACTTGGCATCTTCATTTTAAAAACACATTGCGGCCACAAATAACTTGGCACATTACACATGCCTATTCATAAGCACTTACATTTTTGATATTCTTGTGATAGAAGAAGAGCAGTAAAGCCGTGTCTTAGCGAGAACAGAGATAAAAGCAAAGTGCACAGTTATACAATATGGTAGCTTATTAAGAGAAAGTTTCAGTCTAAGTTCTGAATTAGCTATGTCATCAGCATTCTGCAATTCATATGATATGGACTGATCTAGAAATGATGTAGTCCAGAAATAGTTATTACTATTTTCAGAATTGAGAGGGGTAAATACCCAGATTAAGAATGAGAAATCAAAAGGCTATTGCTAATTTACACACATACACATATACAGAGTTCGTACACATTTCTGCACATGGAAATTAAGTACTTTTAAGGACCTTACTGAAAAAAATTAAGGACCTATGAGCAAATAGCAAATTAATAAATTCAATTAAAATAATATATGTGCCTGAACTTCACTTTTGTAATACCATCCAAAAAACAAAATAGATCCGTAAGTAGGAAGCATTATTATTAAACATAACATAATTAACTTAATTATTAATTAGTTTAAGCATAAAATATACTTTATGAAATTTATCGAACAGCATTAAATATCTTACATTTACAATAGTTCGGTATATCTGAAAGAAGATAAGAGACATTTTATTTACGTTTTACTAATAGTTAGTTTCATGCTGATTTTTTTTTGTCTCATTACTTGCTCAATCTAGAGGTTTAGTAAATAGCAGGTAGATTTTATATCAAGCATCATAGTTTAAAATGAGAAGTAAAATCATAATCAGAATGATTTATAACAAAAGACTGGCTGTTGTCATCGCTGCTCTTTACCTAAAGAGAGACCTGCTGATCAGAACAAAACTGAGAGGCCTGATGTGGGCATGGTTAGCTAGTTTTGAAAGTTAGTTGGGCTCTGTTTGTTGCGGTTAGTGTTATAGCTCCATGTAGAGTTCCAGGGGTTGTAACCAAGTTAATATACTTTAAGGTTCCAATAAGCCACTAAAGCAACAGAGGTGACACTAAGTTGCTTTGTATTAATTTTGGACTCACTAGATACTAAGCATAAGTTTTACACAAATTTTTACATTTTTGTGTTTTACCTTGTGCCATGCTAAGGAATAATGAAAGGCAATAACTCACTTTATTATGCAAAGATAATTTTTAAGGGTAAGCAGTTAGTTATAACTTAAATTAGGTAGTTAGATAACCTTAGTCATTATGGATTTACATGGATTACTTATTAAATTTTACTTTATTTTTTAACAACATTTGTTAAAAAAGTCCCTATTAAAATCACAATCTAATACAATTTGAAATTAAAATATATGTAATTTATGACATTAATTCTTAAATGATATTAGGATAATTATACGCATTACCAGCTACAAAACCATTTATGTTTTGTAGTAACAACACTTAACAAAATATTTATGCATCTTTTTAATTTGAAGCCTTCCCAGACATTTTGGCTTAATTTATATAAATTTTCTTCTCTTTAAACATCTTTCCTAACAATTAAAAATCTGTTTGAATACACAAACCAATGTTCTGATTAGTTTCTGCATGCTTTATCTTCTCCTAACTTGTCAGCCTCTCCACAATGTACCTATGAGGGTTTAATAGATCTGGTAAAAGTTAAAAAGTCCAAAAACTCCCGATAGACGTGAAGCAAGTTATCGCTGTCTCAAAGTGACTACAAAGTCCGACAAAGGTTTAAATAAGCCTCTTATTTAAAAAGAACTTAAAGGCATGTTCTTATGCTAATTAATTCAATTGCAGTTTGTGGTGATGTAATTAAACAAGAACAATCAAATTTAAACAAAAAAAACGTGGACTAGTGGTCAAAGACTATAGAATTTAATTTAAATTTAAGCTGGCTCAGTAACTCTATCGTCATAACAAACCCAAATGTCAGCAGCGATAATGCAAAGACAAAAAGTTGCAAATTATCAGAGCTGGCAGGAACTAATGCAGCGAACAAGCGGAGATTAAAAACACATTCTGTCTTACACACCGAAAACCTCAGTTTAAAAACTTTCTAAGTGATTTGCATTCTGGGGAGGAAATAGAGACTGGAAATTATAATAAAGGCTGAAATTGTAAACAACTCGGTAAGTTACATAATAATACCTGTATATATATTTGAAGAATAATTTTCTTTCTCTGTATGTACTCAGTTTCTTTCTTCAAAATGCTTCCTTTTCATTTTAGAATTTTTTGATTTAATTAAAGATTTCTGTTATTCTAAAAAAACTAAATGCATTTAGAATGTATAGAAAAAGCTGCTAATTTTATTTCTTTAGTAATATGAACATTCAGGAGAAATATGAAATATATATGGTAAGGTCCGGTTACAGAGCTGGTGTGGCATAATTTTTAGAATTTAGTGACACACCGAGCAACAAAATCTAGAAATGGCAAAACTTTTAGAATTTAGAGCAGGTATTGGAAGCAGAATTTAGAAAGGCACTAGTCAGCAAAATTTAGGAGCTACAGAGATAAGTTTAATGTTTCACGTGATTGCACCAGGTGGGAAAATGCCTAGACCTGTGTATGAAGCATTAAGACATATTAGATGAATCTTTTAAACTGCCAGTTTTCGATTTCTTTATTAATAAAAAATATTCTTTTCTGTTATGCCTGTCCATGTGATAAGATTAGAAGTATTTTTAATATTTTCCATACTTG